AAAAAGCAGAAGCGCGCACATGAAATCCCACAGGCCAATACCCTTACCCGATTCAACGGGTCAGGAATCTAAGCGATCCACGCAACAACCGTCGAAAGCGCAACAGCTGCAGCAGCCAATGCCATCGCAGCAAAGCCAACAACAGCAGCAACAGCCTGACAATGCTACGCCGCAAGCTCAAGATCATCAACAACAACTGCCCGCGAGTATTAGCGACAACAGCGCCAAAAATACAGCACATTTATGTCATAATCCTACGAGGCCCCCATAGGACAGGATTCAAGTAATTAAACTTAAGCTACCTTAACGAAGGCTGTAACGGTACTGTAGGAAAGTAATATGATCGCGCATGGTACATAAACCAGGCTCTAAACGATCGCGATCGTCGCACAATCATTACGTTGTGGGAATATCTTTTTACGAGTCCTTTGCTTACAATGGGGCAGGTTGCGTGAGTAAACTTCCAAGATAGATAGTTTCGAAAAAAACGGAAATATCTCCCGCTATGCGAAACTGTGCAAGAGAGCGTGACTGGTAAGTTTGTCCAGTCAGTAAACTAGATGGTTTTATGACACTCATATGGAATATGTATCGTAATCGGCCGTTCAGGAAAAAAGAAAAAGACAACACCTACCGTAAGTGGCAACTAAGTACGAGGAGTTGTAGAACTCGTAGGGTTTAATGGCGCAGCGATAGAAGGTATTTAATTATGCAATCATAATTCGAGCTCTCTGTTCAACAAGGAGACAGGGTACCGATCGTAAACATCTTCCTTAGCGTGGAAGACGAGATGTCGGCATCAGTGTAAGAAAAAAACGGTCAGTGTCATTGAAAAATGAAGCAAATTTACAGACTTTGCGTTTTGTTGAAAAAAAAGGTAAACGCGATCGTTTAACATTGCCTAAAAAAATCAAACACAACTTGATAAGTAGATGTACGAAAACGTATGTTCGCAACAATGAGTGCTAAATCAACAAAACTGAAAAGGATTGACGTGCACCTACAATAAGCGCTCTAACGATTAAACGCGATTTCAGTGTACCTATTTATTATGCACGTGAAATGTTCCCAGATTGTGCCACAAGACATTACTGTTACCTGTTGCTCTTCCGCAATTAAAAAAAAAAATGTTTTAAGTTGTTTTCTCTTTCCATTATATACAACCGGGATCAGTTTACATGTGACGGTATTATTTAGGATTTTGTTAAGAAGTCTTTCGTTTGCTTTAATTTACAAATTTTATAATCACTTAAAATAATGGAACATCATTAATATTTTATTTGAATAAAAATTATGCATACAACATTAATATATAATTTGAATAAATACCGAAAATAATGAGATAAATTACTTTTTCATTGGTAAACAGATCCTGGATTGTAATGTAACAACTTGTTGCACGTTCACTCTAGTTACATTTAGTTTAAATATCATTAGCATATCTAAAATTTGATGAAAATAAGTGGGTCTTATATCACGCGTATGTAGATTTGTTGAAACTCCTTAATTTCTTTACCTCTGTTACTTAGTAGATTAATAGTATACAATTGAATAAAAATTTTAATATATACGATATATGAATATAAATATATATAAATATAAATATGTATAAACACAAATTGATGTAATTGAAAAGAACTCGTTTTAACTTAGGCAAATAATTCTCTAGGAAGGACGTTGTTCAAGTTTCACTTCAGAGGCGTTCCCTGCGTCGCCGATACTGAATGTAAAATAATGATTATACATATGCTCATACATACATATTATACATACGCACACCTAACACACAAATACAGAGAGAATAGAGTACGTTTATTAAATAATATTCGACTTCAATGATCATTAAAATAGCTATATGTACATAAGATGTGTATATGTTTGTACATATATAACATCAGTGTCTGTATGTACAATTAAAATAAACTCTATGCAAAATAAGTAGGCTAGGTTTTAGGTTGTTTTAGGAGGGATCTATATACATATATATAAAGAAAAATATATATACTTGGCTTCATTTTCTACCTACTAGAGGCTACGTGGCGAGGCTCTTGTAAAAACAATGACTGGTCGCATGTTTCCACAATCTTTATGAATTTTTATTTCCCGTTCAAAAGTTGTTATAATGATGTTCCTATATGTAAGGTGCCTTAAGCAATCAAAAAGATTTACTTTTCTCTAATATACCTCGATGTGATGCATTGCATTAAACGCATTGAATTAAAATTCCCCTGATTAACATTATATTTTTTTTATTAAACCAACATAAAATTAAGAACAAAGAAATAAAAATAATACATATAAACTTTAAAAAGCCGATATCAATTTTTATCTGTTCTTTGTGAAAAATATAATATACTCTGATAAAGATTTCACAATTTACGTCTTTCGATTTTCAGGCACGCTTAGCTATTTTATTTCAGACAGTTTATCTTTAGTTGTGTTCATGTATTTATATATATATATAGGAACATCCCTCACACAATCAGTACATTTAGAACAAAAATAGCGTGCATTTTATTACGATAAATATAATAAAAATGTGTACTAAATTTTATAAAGATTAAAATATATTTATATATCAAGTTTCATTTGTATTGAAACTCTAAATTGTTATTCAAGAGAATTGCCAATCGTAGATGCTCTGAATCTATCTTGAGGACATTGTTATTGTTAACATTCTTCTTCTTATTAACTTTTATCATTGAATGATCGCGCACACACACACACACAATGTATACTTTAACTTTTGAAACTTTTCTCAAGTAAATGCAAGTGACTGAGAACACTTTAAAAAAGTCTGCCAAGTCTTTATAAATAAAAACGGCTCTAAATCTTCCATTTATTTCAAAAACTATGATTGTAAATGAAAGTCTAATTGTCGAAAATGAGAAATATCTTTCTCTTAAGACATTAGATAGTCAAAACTCTGTACTTTAGTGTTTATTCTATCTTTACGTGTGTGTCTCATTAATCTCCTCCCCGATTTACAAAAATGTAATGCAAACTAAACATCAAATATTCCGGCCACAACATCTACATTATCTATTTATTTACAGACAAGAGATTAATATAAGGGGGTATCACCAAGGGCACTAATTTAATGTTCACATAATATTCGAGATTTAAAATTGTCATCTTTGCTAAATTTATCGGCCTATAATAATTATGTACAATATGAGAGGACAATTTTATTAAATATTTTCGTAATAATTAAAAAAATGTTATATGTATTTTAATTCTTCCAATATATTCATGATATTATATTTATAAATGCTTATGTAATAATTTTTAAGCCCATGGAAATACTCCTTTGTAATCCAAACTAAATGATTCTGTAACGGCTGAGTAATGGCTTCCAGTACAAGAATAAAAGTGTAGTATTAGAGATCGATATACTATACTATAAGATTCTAGAATTTCGAATCTTAAAGTTAGTTTATTTAAGGAATAAAATTGTTATGAATTCCGACCATAGGCTCGGTGCATAGGTCGAATACAACAAAATTAGCAGACATATCATTTAAGACAATACACTTGTTACAGAAACTAAGTTTCTACTAATATAATTATTATTGTACGTAATCTAACTCTTAATCAGACTTAGAGCTTCAAGAGAAAGATCATAGGTAGTAATAAAACAAAGAGATAATATGTATTGGCTGACCAAATCCAGAAGATATCTAATAATTGCAGCAATAAGTTTTTTTTACAGACTAAATAATTTGTTTTGTCAAAATTCCAAAGTAAATTCAAGTCTGTACACCCCATAAATTTTATAAAATAAGAACTTAAGAGTTTTACAAGTTTGACAAATACTTTTTTTTATGTTAAAACAAACAATATTCTGGATTTAGAACAGTAGCAATACAAAACATAGTACTGGAGGCTACTTACTCAGAATGTGGGAAAGGCATGAAACGAAGCAATGAAACAGTAACGAAGAAATGCATGAATTGTACAAACGAGTCCCTCCACGTCACAGAAAAAATGATATATCTATATGAAGAATATATATATAACAAAATGATAACTATGTGATGTATTTAAATGATATGTGGTATATGGTATTACATATTTGTACATAGGCGGACCCGTGCCATCAACTAGTGAGTTGTACCGATATTGTACTGCCATAAATCGAATAGCGATGACATCGAGTGAATGGATCTGAACTAATCATCAACAAATCTATACGTTATCATTTTTGTTTTTTGTGCTCTCGTACGTGTATGTGATTAGACGATTAACTTGAAGTTACCAACTAACACTTAACTTAATGGCTGTGCAAATGGAGCATTTTGCACTCATCGACAAATATTAAACAAAGTTTTGTTGTTTCATTTTACATTTTATTGTATGAGCAGTTTATTCACATCGAAAATTACCGTTCTGTTATTATTATATTACTCCTGTTTAAGTTGATGTCCCAACATATCTAGATATGTGCCGACATCACATGTTTAATTTGTTGAAATATTTATTTACGTTTATTTTCGAAATCCCATAACAAGCTGACAAAAGACATTAATCGTGATTATTGATTTCGTGCTTATTTTTTATTATAAACGACTACCCTTTATTACATTACTGTACTAATATTTGATACTGTATTGATGATTAAAACGTTTATTAATTCCCGCATTCGCAGTTGTAAATCATATTGCAAATTCATACACGCATAAAATAATTGGGACAATTGGATTGGAGGAAAGAAAAGCACTTAATAATCGAGCAATATATACAAAAAGAAAGTTAGACATTTTTTTCGGCAACAAATACTTATAGTATCATCGTTTCCTAGCATATAGTTGTAGAATTGTTAGTGATGTTTTGATATATTAAGTTAGTTTCATTATTATCGATAATTTATTAATTATTTAGATAATTACTATTATATAGTGACTATTGTAGTACTTATTCTGTTGTTTTTAAATAAATTTCGCGCAATATTTTCTACAGAATGTTCAATGCACGCCATGGTTCGTACGTTGACAAAGCTCTTGATAATCGTTAAATAATTTAGTACTGGTGGAGTTTAATAAGTTGTGGAATATATTGGTACAACTCGATGAAGAAAGTGTAGCGTGGTTATACACCTGAGGAATGTGCTCAAAATATTGTATTAAAGAGAAAAAAGTCTACTAAATGATCATCAACGTTTATGCAAAATTACTCTTAATAAGTGAAAAAAGTTATTACGGATTATTAATATAATTATTAATATCGTAACCTATCGTCCTCTTACCTATTACCTACTTTAATGTCTATCTCTATACACCAGCATGATTCTTTATACTCTTCTATTTGATGTTATACTATTCTCTATTAACTTTTACTACAGAACGTATTGTTAATAGTGTTTTTAATGTACTAGAACATGGTCAGCTGTAGAGGTGCCACGCAAGTGTCACATCGAGATCTGATATATCGAGAACAGATATTACGATTGAAAAAGATAATGGGATGCATATTTACATCGTGAGGTAACACGAGTTCTGACACTTTACGTAATTGCATAAACTCATGACTTTATATTTTCCGTATCGTATTAATACGTAAATGTTACTCTCCATGTAAATCCTCTAAAAATAAATTATATATCTAAGGCTCATTTCTATTATTATACTCAAATATATAATTTAATGGTCAGATTGTTATAGCTTAGTTTATATGCGAATTAAAATACGGGACGAGTAAAAGTCATCAGAGAATAAAAAATATTCACGTACACGCAACACACTTCCCTTTGCTCGTATAAATTATCGCAATAATTTTAATAGAATGGAAGAGAAGCACGTGCTCGATAGCAATATATTCAAGCGGCGCGTTTATACTGTCGTTGTTGTTTTCTTATCTCTCTCTGCTCAACTAGATATTATCTATAAATATACCTATATATTTAGAATCCACATTATCTTAGCTACTTGGAAATCTAATCACTTAATCAGATTCTTGTCTTGCTCAAAAAGACGCGGGCTCGGACGAAGCAACACAATTATCTCTCGTATCCGGACTGTGTAATAAAATCGCTCAAAAGTTGGTGCCATAAGCAATATGGACAATATATTATTAAATGTGTTATAGTTACGCGTGGACTAACTACAGCTGGCCGGCTAAGTTCTGCTTTCAAAAAGCTCGATAACAAAACGTCTTGCGGTTGTCTTCTGCGAATGGTTGCGAGAGTTCTCAATATTATTCCCTTTCG